CAAATAGTACAATGTCGTTTAGCTATTTATTATGATTGGTTTTTATTTGATATTAATAATTTACAACAAATAACAAATGAATTTGATGTACAATTAAATTCAACTGTTGTTGGTTATCATTTATTAACAATGTCATATTATAATGCTAAACAAATGTTATTATTTCTTTTATATACATCAGAAAATTTAATAGTATCATTAAAAACATTTTTACAACAAAATATAGCAAGATTATTTATGGAATTATTTCAACGTATACCAATATTAAATTCACAACAATTATTACAAATGTTTACACATGATAGAGAAATTTATCAACGTTTACTTACAACATTTTTTTCTCTACCGTCATCAACTATGAGTAAGTTGCAAAGAACTATTTGAGAAATATTTTAGATATGTCAAAGATTCTAATACTCAATAGAGATAATCTTGAATTGATATAAATGTTGAAAGTTAAGAGAAACAATAATGTTAAAGATTGTAGAATTTCATCATAATACATTTATCTATAACGAAAAAAAAAACTCTTTTACTCAAAGTTTGAAAAGTGTTTTAGAAGATCTAATGAAAACATCTTTATCGGAGTTTTTACTATGATGATTAAGAAATTCAGAATGAAAGATATTGAAGATATATATGTTACGGTCAAAATTGGAATTCGGTCAAATTCTAAATTTGTCAAGACAAAATCAGAATTTTATTTTCATGAACTGTAAAACTGAGACAAAAAGCAACACTACGAATACGAGTGAAATCAAAAATGATGATGAAGACGAGAGACAGATCTGAGTAAGAGCGAAGAGATCTGGATTTATATTCCAAGGTTGCGAGTGAAATTAGAGTGAATAAACGCGTAAAAATGTTAGTCTTACTCAAAAATTCATCCTTACTAACAAATTTTTTACCCTCATCAAGGCTACCCGCGACGATCTTACTTAAAACCTTCTTCCTGACTCTCATCACCATCCTTGACCTCATTCTTATTTTTGGTATTGATTTTTGCTTAGTTTTATAATTCATCAAAAAATTATTTTCTAATTTTGTTCAGTCAAAATTAAAATTTCAATTTTGTCCGAACAAATTTAGAATTTGACCAGATTTCAATTTTTTTTACCGTTACATATATTTTTTTTTCTTGTACTGATAGCCTTAAACAATTTACTAAAGAGATTATATTTTGATTTATTCTTAAATTTAGATGTTTCAATCAATGATGAAGTTATAGTAATTAATGATGATAGTAATCCAAATGCTGTTATGCCAGTAACAATGGATGAAGAACCAAATGATATAATGATAATGTCAGTAAATACAACAGCTGTACCACGTTTTTCTGATGATGAAGAAGAAGATGATGAATATGAAAATCAAAGAAGTTCATTGAAAATTTCAGATCATGATTATGATGATGAAGATATTTTAATGATTAATGAAGAAACAAAAACATCTATTGATACATACAATACAAATATAATTCGTACAAACTTCCCATTTGATCGATTTCGTTCATATATAAATGATCGTGTACAACAAATGGCATTATCTTATTCAGTATCAATAAATCGTAATAAATCTTCATTACTTACACAAATATATAAACAAATTGCTTCATCATTAAGTGATAAACGTCCACTTATATTAAAAACACAAGCAAATGAACCAGCTGGACCAATAAATTCCTATGCTATGATAAAATTTGAAAAAACAAGTGATAAATTTCAATCACGTTTATTAACAATATTTGATGAACAAACTATTGTTCATGCTCTTTTATGTTTATGGTTATTACGAGATTCATTTCAAAATCGTTTATTACCTTCATTAAGAACATCTCAATCGAATAAACAAAATTCCATATTAGAAAATAATTTTCGTGATATTCCACCACAAAAATTAAAACGTTCAATAAAACAATCATCTATATATGTTTTATTTCGTTTAATTAAAGATGATATAACAAATCAAACTGTTTATATAAAACTTTTACAAGCTATGTATTTTTTTCAGTCAGAATTAGCTTATATATTTCTTTATTATCTATCAATTGATATTGATGATATGAAAATGGCTGCAGAAATTTTTGAAAAATTTGCACAAGATATTATTAAATTAAGTAGTAGTCATAGAAAGTAAGTTAAAAAAAAATATCCAAATATATATATAGAGAGAGAAAACAAAATAGATTAGAATTAAGAGACATGTAGTTGCTCATATAATTAAGAGTCTGAATAGTTATTTAAGTAGAGAACTTTATTTTCAACAAGAATTTTTGCCAATGAAAGCGAATGCTACTTTTCTAAGGATAAGATTCATAGGCTGAATTGAATCGAGTTTTACTGGTTCGAATTCGATTCGCTTAGTTTTTGGTCTCTGAAAAACCAAGTACTTCCATTCCTAGAGTTAACAAATAGACTTATATTTGAATTACTCAGAATGATAGAGTATGCAATTCTCCCTCCGATGTTTCTTCGTCGAGATACATGAATCATACGCAAGTTATAAAAGTCGTTTTTATTCTATTATTTCATATGAAAATACTATTTTTATGCTTTTCGTATGGCTGATGTCGCTTGGTCAATACACATTGCAGAAAGCTGTAAGAGATTTCATTTTGTACAGAGATTTGTTCTCTATCATTTTGAGTAACTAAAACAGAATCGTATTTGCAAATATTAGGAGCGAAAATACTTGTTTTTTTCAGAGAACCTATCCTGGAAAGGCTCATCACCACCTTTATCCTTGAATATTCTTATTGGAAATAAAATTTTCCACGTCGAATAATTTCAAAAAGAAAATGTTTATCTACTACATAATGAATAAACTAAAATAACATATTTGTTTTCTTAGACCAGCTATTCCACCAGCTAAAATGCCAACATATGATCAAGATTTTATTGATTTTATACATGAAATTTTAACTTATTGTGAACAAGATGATACCGAAACATTTCTTTATTTATTTTCATATATCTATCGTTTATATTCAAAAAAATTCTTTAATAATATTAAATTAATACGTCTTCTATTACATACAATAAATCATTCTGAATTAGAACAATTTATGTGTGATATACTTAAACATCAATTACAATTATTTAATTCCCATAAACTTTATTCAATTGTTGATCAAACATTATTATTTGCACAAAATGAACAAGAAGATTTTTGGAAATTATTAGGTGCACATGATTTTGTACAGAATGATTATGAACAATTATTTACAAATATAATTGAACATTTACTTAATCAAACAAAATCAGTTATTGGTGAACAACGTTTAGCTAAATCAATTAATTATACAACATATCGTAATACAATAGCATTAGCTAATGTTTATGATATATTAAAAACAAAAATTCCTACCTATGGTATTGTTTGTTGTTTATTGGCACATGAATTAACAAAAAATTTTTCGGAAAAACTTTGTCTTTTATGGCATGAACAACATCATGATACATTTTGGCGACATCTTGAACGTATATTACAAAAATGGATACAACGTGAAAATGATCAAACTAAACAAAAAATTGATTATAAAATTGGTACAATTAAAATGGCAAATGAAAATGGTTTAAAATATATTTTACAACATTTAGAAATTTTATTAGAAAGTAAAACTATTGATATTAATGAAAATAAAATTGATCAAGACGATTTACATGATCGTTTGACTATTGATGATAGTTTATTAAATATTCCATTATCAAAAACAACTATTAAATTATTAATTGATTGTATACATAAACATGAACAAATTTATATAGAAAATAAAAATTTTGTTGATCGATTTGAAAATGGAAACTCAGTGTTACCACCACCTTTACCAACAACAACAGCAACGACGACAACAACAGCATCATCAACAACATCGATTAAACGACGAAAATTGGACAATAAGTTCTAGTCATATTTCTGCATGCTGTTTTTTTCTTTCTTTTCGTAATACGTGTTCTGATGTTCTATATCAATGGTTTCTTATGAAACATAAAAAAAACGATAATGATTGGATTAGTTTATTTCTTTTAAAAAAAATTTATTAGTATTATTAGATAGATCATCTGTTCACTAGTTAGAGAATGAATTAGATAGATATAAAAGATATTATAGATAGTTATCATAATCAAAAAAATATATAATAATAAGAATTTTAATAGAACACAGTGGGATTTAGGAGAAATAAAACGTATTTCGGTTTACTTTACAGATTCTCAAGCTTCTATGACTTTTATGCACTTTACACTCTGTACTTCTTTCCATTGTTTTATTCAGCGTGCATGCTGAAGGAAGCGTGTCTCTCCAAAGGTCGGATTGATCCTGGTGGAGTTTGCGAGTATTGTACTATGCACTACGTGTCTGTGCTTCCTGTGTGTTAAGTCACCCTTCTAGAAGAGTAAGTCTGGATAAAGCATCGTGTTTAATCGTTGTATGAAGTGATTTAACCAGAGATCTAATAAATTATAATTGAAAATAAAGATTTACTAGAATCCATTATCTGTTGTTAAAACGCACATTAACTATAGATAAACTCGATTTGAGCTATAAGAATACAAACTCATCTATAGCAATTTGATAACACAATCAAAATTTTTAATAAGTAAAATGTCGATTCATAAAAAGGAGAGACAGTTGAAAATTTAAAATCAATTAGTTGGATGAACTTTGAACGAACATAGCTGCAATGAAAGAAAAGAAGTGATAGAATTAACATTGATTCATATTCTTAAAATTCGGAATATGAGAGATATCTCACACTAACTCTAGAAAAAAAATCGATGAATCTCTTTTTTAGGTTTATAACTCTCTCGTTACTCCTAGACTGAATATTGCTCATTCTCTTGCATAAGTCATTCGATCAATAAAAAGCAAAGAATTCAAAATTTTCTTGGTTGTTTTTTTACATACTTGAATATATGAAATGGTTAATCATTATTGTTTTATTAACTAATTTGATCTTCTCAAGATGTATTTGTATTTGGAAATATATAATATTATTGTAGATGTCTACAAAAGAAACTGCAACTGTTTCTTCTCCTATTAAAAAACTCAATAATTTATTTGACATATCATTGTCATGTTTAACAAATCGTTTTATATGTTCACAACTTGTACCGCGTCATACATCACCACGACAAAAAATCTTATTATGTCACGATATGAAAGGAGGATATCTGAAAGATAAGTATGTAAATTCAAAAATTTAGTTTGAATGAAAATGCAGTAATAGCAAAACTAGGCAACAGAGATGCTTATGTTGATAGCGACGTGCATTTAGTTAATATGGCAGAAATGTATGAATTTATAAAGTGTTTCGGTGTCTATCTCAGGGATGTTGATGGTTTTTAGGGGCGAGAGGAGTTAAAAATTCAGGTACCATGTGGATACTGATTTTTGAAACACTTTTCGAATACTTAACCGATGGTAGTGCATTGAGATATGTTATTGGTGATGATGTAATAGCAGCAGGTTTTTAATTACAATGAGCATCTCTGATAGGAAGATCTGTTGTATGATTTTTTTTTTCTTCATCATCTTATCTTGACTTAAGAAAAATACCTGAGAAGTTATGAAAATGTCAATTTTAGTCTCAGATTTATTATGTCGACTTAATTGTAGGCATATACAAGGCTGTCAATCATATGAACCTTGCTATCGATTTTTTCGTTGGCATCTAATCGACATATTCGTCTATTTTTCTCATGAACTTGTTACTATACCACCATTAGTTTGGATTGATTGTGCACATAAAAATGGTGTTCAAATACTAGGTCCGTATAGGTTTTTTTATTCTAGTATGAACTACATTAGAATATTAAAAAATAATTTCAGGTACATTTATAACTGAATTTGATGCAGGAAAAGAAATATGTCGTCAATTATTAGCATCAGATGATAATGTTGATCGTGCAGTTGATGCTCTTGCATTACTTATGGCATGGTATAATTTTGATGGATATTTATTGAATATTGAAAATCCAATTGAGGTAAGATTTATCTTAACAATGAAGACAACAATAGAATTATCTAATGTTGATTTTTAGCCAGAATATGTTAAACGTCTTCTTTCATTTGTTGCAAAACTTAAATTAGCTTGTGAAAAAATTGATCCAAATAGTTTAGTTATTTGGTATGATAGTGTGACTATACATGGTGAGTTAAAATGGCAAAATCAATTAAACGAATTGAATGAGTAAAGATATATGTGTATGTATTGTCTTTGATATAAACGATATTTTATATCTAGACCATTTTTTAATGTTTGTGATGGAATATTTTTAAATTATACATGGAAGATAGAAAAGCTTTTACAATCGAAAATTAATGCTGGAGAACGTTGTCGAGATGTTTTTGTTGGTATTGATGTTTTTGGTCGAGGATGTTTTGGTGGTGGTGGTTTTAATACATGTGAAGTGTGTTTATCTTTATTCATTTTTTTGTTTTTTACCTTTAAATAATCATTTTGTTTTGCTTTCAGGCAATGTCTGTAAGTTATACAAATGATTTAAGTGCAGCTATATTTGCACCTGGTTGGTTATTTGAAACATTGGATACAAATGAATTTATTGAAAATGATAGAAAGTAAATTAATCCAATTGAACTTGATAATTGATGTTAAAAAGAATAATATAGGTTTTGGAATTTACTAGAACCATATACAAGTCAAAGAGTTCTTCATATGAAATCCTTAACAACATTTTTTTCTGATGGTTTTGGCAAGGAATTTTTCGTTCATGGTGTAGTAAGTTTTCAAACTCTGTTTTCTTAATATTTCAAAAACAAAATATTTAAATTTAGAACCTCGCACGCAATTCATGGTATAATCTTAGTTTACAATCTTATTTACCTAATGTTTTAAGTGAAAATAAATGGTTAATTAATCATGATGATGCTTATTTTGGTGGATCATGTATTGAATTTAAAGCAGATGCTAATGGCTATTTTAAGTAAACTTCTATTTCTTATTTTATTAACCTTCTAACAAGGGAACTATGTCAACTGTAACCCACCGTTTGAGCTCATATTGGATGTACAAGAAGGTCTCGTTGATTCTAGAAAAGATCGACAAGGTTTCATTCCCATGGAATTTTGGAGGCGGCTTATGATCATTTTACTAACATGTCTATCCTTTTTTAGGTTTTCATCAGAAACTCAAATACCCCCCCCCCCCCCCCCCCCCCCCCCGCAATAGAAGATCCCCCTTGGCAAAAAGTTTGAAAGGCGTATTAGAAGACCCGGGTCTTGTAGTCCGACCAAGAAAAAATTTCAAAAACTTTTCCTGAAACCTATTTTGTTTTCATATCAAACTATGCGTCAAAATGTTTTCAGTCTTATCCGATGATCGGTAGATAATCCCTATCCGTTAAAAGGATATCAAAAGGCGCATCAAACAGCATGTTCCTTTTTAAACACTGTTGCTCTCTACATGTCATTATAGTTTTTATTATCTGTAAATGAGATTATAACAGTTTCAGAAGAAAAGAGCTGAACGATAAGTTCCAAGTCTAAACTCCAGCTATTCGACGAAGTCTTTCGACTTGTTTATCAATTTTTTTCTCTGCATTCGAACTGTCATAATCCTAGACTGGAATTTCGCCCCAATTTGTGTTCGGATAAAAATATCAAAATGACTAAGTTTATTGATAAGAGTTTACAAATAAAACTCTGGTTAGTAATACTATCGAAATTCGACGTATTTGTTAATAATTATCACTTTAACTCTTTCTTCTCCATAGCTTAATTTGAAGGCCCCAAATCGAAATTCGCTCAGCAACGGCAATATAATAGTCCCTAATACATATAGGAAGAGTTTGAAGCAAATCTACCAAGTACCAATGCTCTTCACTTATACCGCATATTCTATGTACTCTTCAATCTGGAAAAGGTCATTAAATTCACAAAAATTTAAAAAATTGAAAAATCTATACATTCAATTAGTCAAACAATTCGAAACTATTACTTGAGAATCTATAATACATAAGCCATAATTTGATATGAAATTTGTTTCTATATGCCTTTCTGTTCAAGAGAAAAAAACTTAAAAAATGGTATCTATATATATCATTAGGAAAGAAAGGGTTAATTTTATGTAGGAACTTCTTATGAATGCCTCCGTTGAGTATTAATAAGAACTTGATTTGCTGAAAAGTACACCATATGTTAGTCAAACAATCTACCTTTCTACACAGATTGCTGTCAATTTTTTTTCATACCTAAAACATCTTCGAAATGTTTTGAGTATGGGTGTGCAGAGCTTTGTGTTTATAAGAACTTTGATAGATTTTTGGATACGTCTGTAGAGGTTAACGTATTATTGGAAGCAGCAGTATCCACGATTCAGAAATTGGCAATTCAAGGAAAATGCAGGAATTCAAGAGAAGTTGTAAGATACCATCATATCTCGAATTTCTACATTTTCCTTGAATTCCGTGATTTTCATAGTGGTTATAAGAAGTAGATACGTAAGATGTCGAAATCTCTTGAATTTCTTGAATTCCTAGATTTTCCTTCATTTCCTTGACTTCTATGGAGGTTATATGCAGTTGATATGAAAGATATCAACATCTCTTGAATTTCTTGAATTTCCAATTTCTGGATCGTGGAAGTATCTCATCGGCGGACGAAACTTCAGACGGTTACAGAAATCTAATCGGATAAACGCTGTTTTGCTGACACTAGAAAAACAGGGCACTAATACGAGAAGCGTCACACATGTACATCATTATTTACGACTATATAATCTCATCGACAGGCGTTTATCAGAGTATTTTTTGCGAAAACAGAAATATGAAATGTAAAAGAAAATTTTTTCAAAATGTTTTCAAAATTTTAACCTAAAAGTCGGATTAGAAGACCCCTTGGAGATTTTTTACGCTCGGACATATTAGAAGAGCCGGGGTCTTCTATTGCGGGGAGGAGGATTTAATGGAATTTCAACATGAAGTTTTGCTGAGAAGTTAAGACTAATAACCCTTACAATATTCTGAAAGTTTCAAGCGAAAAATAGATTCCTTTGTAAAGAACTGGATCCAAAGTTCAGTACAACAGACATAACTTGGCTTCAAATCTCTATGGAGTTAAATCCTTTTAGACTTTTTATAGTCTTATTGGAACCTCCTTGTTTGTCCTATATGAGCGCAAACGAGAGGTTACAGTTGCGATAGTTCTTTCGTAAGTTTCTTTGTTTTTGTTTTAGGTTGTTTAAATGTCTAATACCAATCGAATCGATTTGTGATATAACTTTAGTTTTTAAACATATTGCTGATATTGTACTTGAACTTAAATTTGATAATGGGAAACACATGCGTTTAGAGAAAAGTGACAAAGAGTTGATTGTTCATAATTGGAAACGAAAGTATGAATATTTATTTGTTTTATTCGTATTAGAATTTCTGTTTTTTTTGTCAGAACTTATCGACTTGTTATTAATGAACACGTATCGATAACTGATATATCAATTCATTATGATGAAAATATACATTCAACTATCAAACTTGGTTATTTATCGGTTAGATAATAAATGAGAAATTTATTTCGATAGAAAGAGAAAAATTTGTTTAGATTCATCCTATCGAGTCTCATTGTTTAAAAATTGAACCATTACCACCTTTAATACAATCGATTGAGCAAACATCAAATTCATCGATTATTTTACATTTTGTTGATTCTATTCATGAACAACCATCATCAATTATATTAGTTTTTGTACGTGATCAATTTGAACAATATTCATTTCTGGGTGCTACACGTCAATCATATTTTGTTATTTTTCAATCAGAAACAATCAATAATAAACAAGATTATTCTATGTTAGTTATTCGACATTATTCATTTGATAGTTTAGTTTTAATTAATGAACAAATTCTTAAAATACCGATGGCGTTTAATTGTTTACAAGGCTTTTGTTCGAAAAACTCTTAATAATATTTTTACTTAGTCTTTAGAATAAAAAATAAAATAAAATAAGAAACTTTTTTTTAGATTGATATGGAGATGAATATATCTAATTTAGAAATTTGCTGTTTAGCTTATGATAAACGGTTTGATCAACTTAAAGCAAAAATAGATGCTAATCCTCAGTGTATAAAAGCAAAAGATCGTGTACGTAAATTCTCTTTTATTTATAGAAGTTTCATAAGATCATTAATGATTTTAGGATGGTCGTACTGTTCTTCATTGGGCTTGTTCAAGTGGTGCAAAGGATATTGTTCAATATCTGCTTGATGTTTGTCATGTTCGACCAGATATTCCTGATGAAGTAAAATGAACCAAAAAGAATGAAATAATTTTATATAATAATTTTTTTTCTCGTGATTTTCCGCACCGCCATGATTGACGACAGAATCTCTACAGATGCTCCATTCTGATTTCAATGACTTTTAACTAATAGATGCTATGGCTATAGAAAACAGCCATATGAAAAAAAATTCGATTGTTTAGATAGATCTGAATAGGAAACCAAATCCTTTTGAAATTGTTATTAGAACTCTACATAATACATATGGGCAGACAATCATTGAAATCGAAAGGAGTCATTTGACGATATTTCTTCTGTAGGCAACTACACTGCTTGACACGTGGCTACAAAGTTTTGTGACTAAAACTCGCTGTCTATAATGATGAGTGATTCTGGACCAATCACCAACAGTTATTTGTCTTGGATCACCCGCCCGATAGCACATTTACTCCATGTCGACATACATTGGTTCTTGTGGCTAATAAGTCACTAGTCAGTGTGTATGAGAAGCTCAAACAATTGAGCAAGAGAACTCTGAATTAAGTTGGCCTTCCGTGATGATAACGACAAGAAATACTTTTCTTTTCGTATTAATTAGAAAAGTTGAATTCAATGGATATTTCAATTGTTTTTGTTTCAGCTCGGTTGGACACCATTGATGATTGCAGTATCAACAGGTCATCTAGAAATCGTTCGAATGCTTTTACAAACAAATAAAGTAGATATAGAACAATCAAATTCATCGGGTGCTCGACCTTTACATTATGCATGTTCAAAAAATTTTTATGAAGTAAAACACACAACAATAAAACAAACAAAACCAAATCTTCAAAATTTTTTTAATTTCTAGATTACTCAATTGTTACTTGAACATGATGCTGATATAAATGCAACAGATAAATATAAACAAACACCATTAGATCGTTGTTGTTCAAAAGGAAACACACGAATTGTAGAACTTTTATTAAAACATCCAAAAATTGATTTAAGTATGCATAAAGAATGTGATGGAGATCATTCATTATTTCAACAATAATTATTATCATCATTGTTTCTTTTTTTGTTTTGTTTTATTTATTTAAAAGAAAAAAGAAAAGAAGCTCTTTTTAAGTACTAATTCTGAAAATAAAAAACAAGGCTAAGATATAATTAACAATTGTATGAAAAGAAAGACGATTTTTAATGTTTTGTTAATTTAATAATGAATGATCGTATTTGCATTGGATACAAATGAATAGTTCGTCCATCAAAAATTGGTGTTTCGTTGTATTCACTTTTATCTTCTAAAAAAGAAAAAAAAGAAGATATTGAACAAATTTATTATTTAAATAAATAAATTACACACCATATGTTGAATCTACTGTCCATTTTAATCGATCAAATGCTCCAGTTTTATACATATTTGCACCTAATGTTACTTCTTTAGCATCAACTAATTTATGATTGTTGAAAATTTTCTATTAATATATAAAGATTTTATTGAATCAATATTTTTTTTATTGTAAAAACTTCCTTACATGAATTTGAATTGAAATGGATTCTGATAATTTAGAATGCTCATTACGATCATAGATATGTTCAATACGAAAAAGAATAGTTAAAATATTTTTCTCATGACTCAATGGTTCTATTGTTAAAATATTTACTTGTGGAGGTAATTCAGTGTTTAATAATGACCACTAGTAAATACAAATACATCTTTTATAAAGAATATAATTAATCTTAAAATTACTGTTTTATAATCAAGTGGTTGATCTTTGAAATCACTTCGAAAAGCAATTATTGGTCTCCAAACTGATTTCAATGCATATTCACGAAAGAATTTTATATTATCATCAGGTTTAGCTATTGACAGTAGATGACGACCTATTGATACATACATATATATAATTAAGAAATAGTGAAATATTTATTTTTAATTTGGCTTACCTCGAACAACTAAACCTTGACCATCAATACCTAATTCATTCAGAGTCTAAAGAAAAGTCAATTTTGCAAATAAATAGTAGAGATTTGTTTTGGTTTTATACATACTTCGGATACACCTAGACTATCATCGGTTAAGACACGTCGATGAATCTATATGATAGATGAGAAATAGTTTAGTGAAGGAATATAAAATAAAATGGATTTTGTAATTGACAAGCAATTTGTCAGATAAATATAATTAAACATTCAATTTTTTACGACATGGTGAATTTCAGTCGCGAAATTAGAAAGTCATAAAATGCGTTTCTTTGAAAGCAGCATAATACTAACATCTTAAGGGCAGCTATAAGATTATGAACATTTGGCTTTTTACTGCTTGAGATATTACTTAGGAGACTTTGATTTGTATTCTATATATAAAGGCGTAATTAGATGACGGTTAGGAAGAGTTCAGCTACCCTAAAAGACTTTGAACCTCTTTGAGGACTATTACCAAATTCAAGTTTTCTTCCAGTTACACCACTTATCCTTTATTGAGAAGTGATGCTATAATCCGACCTATTTACTAAAAACTTAATATAACATATAAAAGTAGTGCTTATGTTTAAAACACAATTTTAGAACCTATTTTCAGATAAGAATCAACGAAATCTTTGTTGGTTAGTTCCATCAATCCATGAGAGGATAATAATATATATGAATGAAAGAGTAAATCTCAAGTACCAAAGGTTTTATTAAATCTTCTTTCAAATAATAGAAATTGCTTGTCATTAAAGTTAAAATATTAGATGTTTTAGGAGTAAGGCAGCAAGAAAAGAATAGGATATATCTTCGCCATATTTTAACCAAATAAGATAATTTTTTTTTCTAATGATACAGTAAAGTTCCAAGTTTTTATTCATGTGCAAATTTTCATGTTCTTCAATTTTCTCAAGTTTTAAAATAATCTATGTGCAATCTTAGAGTTTTCATTAGTCAATATGACTTTTCAGGATCCTCTCTAAACTTTGATATAATATTTCCATAAGTAGTCATCTGCAAAGACAAAAAGTTATCTGAAACTCCTTTGATATATTCCATTTTGTAGAGCTTTTCTTTAATTGATCATTACAGTAAAAAGAAATCTCGAATTTTATCAGCAAATGACAGTGCTGAACTTAAAAGTATTACAAAACATTCTATTGCTCTGTAGTTCTGAAGAAATGACGACTTTTTCCAGTATTGTGACCCGAATACTATCGTTTACTGATAAACTAGGAAAACATTTTACTCAAATCATTAGTGATAAAACGCTCTACAAAATCAGTCAAATCAAAATAGAAATTCTCAGACTTCTATGTTTCTTGTGATCGACTATTGATAGAAGTACCCGAAAGAAAAAAGCCAACTTCTGGATTAAAATAGATAGTGCTAGATATCAAATGTGACAATAAACTTTTAATATATGAATATAAATTTGTAACTTTTGTCTACTATTAGAAAAGAATTAACTCATTTTGTCAAAATATAGTGGAAATATTCCAGTATTCTTTGTTGGTTGGTTATTTCTGGGATATCCAGTGATTCTTGATTTCATAACAGTACAAAAAAAAGTCTCGTAACATTCTCACTTACCATAATTTCAACTTGTCCATCTTTTATACTACCACCACCTTGCGCTCGATCAGTAATTATACTCATTTGTAAATCTTGTTTTTCATCCTAAGTTTTCTTACAAATTATCTTTCACTTTTGTTTTCTCGTTCTCCCTACTTTGATCATGATACCAGTTACTAATGGATAATAATTACCAGCACTCTTTTCACTTTGTTTAAAACGATATCCATCACGTTGATCTCGTCTAATCCAAAAGAATAAAAAGACACATTGATTTCATGCTAAATTTCCTATTGATTCTATAGTATTACATTCGTTTCATTAATGATCGTCCACTGGAATCTGTATAATAGATTCCATTATTGTTAAGATCTTTACTGTGATAGGAAGTGACGAATTCGACACTATAAAAACAACAATTAAGTTTATTTTCTTATTTATATAAAGTATAATCTATTATACTTTATATTTAATCGTCCCACAATCCACTCGAATTCAATATATGGTGAATTGTCAAGTAAACGAATTGATTGATTAACAAATGATGAATAAACTTGAATGATTTCTTCATAACCTTTACGCTTTATAATTTGAAAAAAAAACATATTTTAAATGTCGATCATTGTTAAATTAGATTGATTTTAATCTTACTTTAAAACAATAAAAGTGTTTTATATTAACTTGTTGTGGTGGGTCTGTACCAATTGGACGAAAAACATACAAGCCACTTGCTTGATGTGATATTTGGTCACTAGAAGAACCTATCGACAAACATAAGTATCTTGAAAAATTTCAAGAAAAAAAAGCTTACTTGAATAATAACCAAAATTTTGTGTGAAGTCGATTTCTTTATTCATTGATTTCAATTGTAATGAAACGATCAAGCCCTGTTCATTGACTTTTAGTATGTAATGCTGCTCAAAAAAACAAAGGACATCGGTTACACAATAAGACACTTAATGAAGAATAGTTTTACTTGATTTTCAATAGAACAACTTGATGTTGTAATTGGTAACTGTTCAACATTTTGTTTTTGTTCTATTAATGTTAAATTAATAAATTTTATTAGATATTTTACATGATAGTTCTGTCAGAAAGAGAAAATCAAATTGGATACACTATACAGAGAGCATTTATATTTTAATTTAAATATAGTTTGCTTGGAAATTATATATTGCAAGTCAATATAAAAATAGCGAAATGCATTTTTAATGAAATATGTAATGATAAAAAGTGCAAGACAAAAAGGATTCGATAAACATCTACAAGAATTCGATGAAAATCCATTCAACATTCAACAATAGAAATAGAATTCATAGATAAAGAGACATTGAAAGTATCACGCATATTGTGTTGGTCAATCAATATATATAATTGTCTTAAAATGAATATATTTTCGAATTCTGTATGCAAATGAAGTGCTAATTTTCATTATTTTTGAATATTAATTTCATAGGATGTAAAAGAAAGTTTGTATGTTTAAAACCATGTTCAATTTTTAAATAATGAAAATTTATTCTTGTCTATAAGCCAAAACATGCATACACTTAACGTTTTACCTAGGCGAATATTTTTTTTATTGTAATATATTTTTTTCAGTAGTTTCTTTTCTTTTACTTAAAGAGCTTTATCTATTAGACACTGAAGGGTGTCCGCTCAAAAAATGACCACCTACTTGATATGATAAATGGAACAGCTTGTAAACTTAATGGTGGTACATGAACACGAACAATTAATTCTTGAAATTGGTCACGATTATGAACGGTTGGAATACTTTGAAGAATAGGTGATAAACTGATAGTCTATAAACAAGTAGATGGTATTTATTTTGACGAAGATATGAAGTAAAAATTTTACGCCGATCTCTATAGCATCGATGGAAAATTTCTTCACATTATTAACATCAAGATTGATAGTTTGTTGTTCGGCAACAGGGATACGTATCCAAACTTCATTAGATATTGATGACGGATTGTAAACTATTGCAGAGAACTAGTATGAAAAATAAAAACAACGATTATTTTATCATAATAATTGTGTCCTAAAATCTTTATCAACTAGTTTTCGCTGATAGTCGACTAGTGCACTGAAGGAAATAGAAATAACAGGCCTCGCAGCGTGTGTACTTTCCTGCTTTTTTTAAAGGTGTCCTGATTTTCCTGCTTTTGACTGAAAAACCTGCTTTTGTCCTGATTTTTCAAGATTTATCTCTGTAGGACCACATATACGTCATTTTGATGTTTTATTTTGTTATACTCAACGTTTCTTAAAAATTTTATGAAAATATTTGTTGAATATTTTCTATAAAAAGAAAGATGGTACTCAAATTTTTATTCTGCCCATTTTTTTCTTGTACAATCACTTTAAGAATCGATTATTTCAAATTAATTGGTTTTTGAAAGCAGCTATTTTATCATTAGTAATTATCACCAGTACTTCGGCGGTATTTATATCATACAGTTCACGACCGTGGGTAGCTGCATTAAATCTTGTATTCCCTTATTTTAACATTTTAGTCGATTTACTAAAGTTTTCTTGTAAACGCTTTTATTCGTTTATCTATAACATGGTGGTTTTATATGTGCGAAGAGCAGGGATATGAAGAAGAGGAAAAATAGCAGAATGGGGACGGAAGCGTTATGCAGGGAAATGGTTTGAGTGCCGAAAAGATGGTTATAGAACCTTAAACACTGCGAAAATGCGGATTTTTCTTTCTTTCTTTTTACGGCTATTTTCCTGATAAAAATGCGATTTCTACTAGAAACAAATAAGACTCCAATAGTGAAGGATGCCCCCTTCCGTAGGCCACGTATCTGAGAAAAAGAAAACGTAAACACAATGCATAATTAGAGATAGCGAACGAAAGGAAAAAAGCAGAACTCGAAGCACGTATTCGGCGAAATATAATATAGTAATTCCAATGAACTATCATTGATCGACATACTTTTGTGCAGCTTTCATCCTGAACAATAGCACTATGATAAGACTTAAAATGTCCTGATTTTAATCGAAATTCCTGATTTTTTTCTAAAATGTGTCCTGCCTATTTTCCTGATTTTCAGACATAGGCCGCTGCAACCCCTGAAATAATTCAATGTTTCATTGAAATGCAGATATAACAAAATTCTTATTGAAAAAGTACAAAAGTTGTAAAACATTTTTATGTTATAAATGCTCAAATTTTTCGAAGCTGGAGATTAACAAAAATCTATAATAATTTTATGGACTTTAAACATCAATAACTTACTTTATCGATGTCAACAAGCGGCTTACAATAGCTTTCATTAAGTTGACAAAAAATTAATGGTGTAGACCAATTCGTTGTCATTGATGGAGTTAAAATATGTTGATAGAGTGATAAAGCTAATGCCTACATTTAACAGAAGAAAAAAAGCTAAAAATTGCTTTTTCTTTATTGCAATTATACTTGTCCATTTTTTTCTGCTCGAGACATTCTTTGAAGAGCATCTGCAATATGAATCATTGGACTTGTTCCTCTGAACAAAAAATAATAAACATTACCATTCAACTTTGATTAAGCATTAATATACGTGATAGTATCATGATGCTGCAGTAAACCCATGATCTCTGCTAATTGAAATAAACCATGAAAGTCAACCTGGTTCGCAAAGATACTCAGTTGTCGAAGAGACTATTAAAATAACATTAATTAGATTACATGTCCTTCACTTGAATAGATTCAAAGAAAACTCACCTGGTACAAAGCTCCTAATGAACGCTCATAATATTTGATACCTGGTCTCGATGTATAGAATCCTGTCCAAAATGCATGTGCACGATGTGCATACGATAAAAAATCACCTTCTCGTACAGGCCATGAGCGCTTTTCTTGTGATAAAGCATGCAAAAAGCAAGTGGGTGTTGAATAATGCACATAGAATTTCTTTTTATCAGTCGTTGTATTTTGCTATTCAATCGAAAAATAAAAGATTACAGTTTTTTATTTAATTCAGACGTACTATATTATTAATAGTATCAATCATAGCATCAATATTTTGAAAATATTGCGTAGCATCTTCATATTCAAAATCACCACCATATATAACAGCTATATTGCTGCTATTATATTTTTCTTGCTATAAAAATATTTTTAATTTAAACAAAAATAGAAATGTCAACAAGTGTGAAACCTGAGTTTTGAGTTCTGCAAGCAAACGCTTACTATAAGCACTAGCTGATTCTGGTATTGTATCAACATCAGATGATCTCTAAAAGATGAAATAGCAAAATTAGATTATTGTCAAATATTTTTCATCGAATAACTAATACTTACCAATAAGCTACCTGCAATATCCGATTTTAAGGCTAATGTCTCTGGTGGATGATATAGATTAGGAAGAATTCCAGTGAATAACCATCGTTCACTCTTGGCTTAAAACATAAGTTTATTTGATGTTTATTTATATTTTGTGTATTTAATAACTTACGAGCATTTTCATTTATTTTCCAAATCATTTGTAATGTTTTTTCAGCTGTACGCTGTTCTTTTTCTTGATAATCCAAGCGACCAAACAAAATACCATCATAACCCATCTGATGATTTTATCGAAAGAATATAGGGTTTTTTTAAAGTTTTAACATATCTATTACCCATTGAAAATAGCTTTTTACTTACTTGAGAAAATAAAGAATTGATTTCTCGTCCATGTCCAAATAAGTCAAGTTGCCAAGCAACAGCAGGTTGTGAACAAGTACGTAATTCATCTTTAACAAAACGAAAACCAAATGTACATTGATCAATCATTGCAGAATAATGACTGACAGCTTCATCATTTGAAACCCAACTACCACCGGCTATATCAATACGTCCTAAAATTCAAAAAAAAATCTTTTAATCAATCGAAAAAAGACGTAAGAAATCAATTCTTAACCATCTTTCAATAATTTTCTTATTATTTTTTTATAATCTTCGTCTAAGCGTTTCCACCAACGCCATATAAATGACATTTCAACCATCACAAATCGACGTTGAGCATTTTCAAGTAAAGCACTCACCACATTATTGAATATTGTTAAAACGCTTGGCATATTATGTCGATATGTTTGACCCCCCTTTTGATTATTAGGACCATGGTCAATGCCAAAAAAGTATCCGTCAACGGAATTAAGCCAACCGGGATCTAAATGTGTATGACAAATAATATGTACATTGATAACATCTTCACGAAGTTTTGGACAATTCTAAATAAATAAATATTATTGAATCTTTCAATATATCTTTTACTTTTTCTTAATTATACCTTATAAGCACAATTTTCTGATTTTGATGATATGATATCATCTGGTTGTTTATCTTCGAGTAATACTACTTTGTTTCTTGAAATTATATTTTCTTCATTATTTTCTTTTCGTAGATTATATTCTTCTCGAATATATAGAAAAAATCCAAGGCAAGATACAACAGTAATAAGAATAATTAATTGTTTACGATATTTAGTACTACGTGTTGATCGTACCTATTTCAAAAAATTTATACCTAATTTCTCATAAAAAACAAATAATTAAGAGCTTACAAATAAACGATAAAATGTATGCATTTTCAATATTGATTGATTTTCGAGATGGAGAATCACGTACTAAGATGACGGCTTAGTTCGTCGAACGAATAGGGACGATGCAAATGATGATATGTATATGTAATTTACGTTCTAGGACTTCTATTCAAAATTAAATATTAGTCTTATCACCAATTATTTAATATATCACAGTAATTTTTACGCTTGATAACTTTATTTCACTAGAGAATCTTTTCTATATGTCCATATGTTAAATGAATATATATATATGCCAATAGTTCCGTTTTTTTTAATCAATAAATCCACAATATAGAATTACAAAATAAAATGTGACAATCAAATGATTCACACAACGTTATGTATAAATCAGTTTTCGAAGCGTCCACACGGCATCATATCTGAAAAAAAAAATCAAATATTTGTCGCACATTGTAAGCATTGAAATTTTTTTCTTTTTCAATGGAGTGGTATAAAAAAAAATTTCTTGGTGGTTGCATTAAGATGCATTCGTTTTTCTTTTTGTTTGATGGCAACGCAGTCACGCGATGTATTAGACGAATAGATTTTTCGTCGTGAAAAAACAGCTATAGAAACGTTTTCTTTCTTTATGTGAGTAAATAAACAAAAAGAACAAATAAAGAAAAAAAATTGTCAATTTTTTAGTAAAATGGAAACTTGACATAGTCGTTCCCTGTCACAGAACATAATTTCTCTTTTCTTATCAAATATATTTACTTGCGACAAACATTTATGTTCTAAAGCAAACTTTGATCGTAACACATAATCAGCAGTACAAAAGAAGAAAACTAAAAAATTTCAAGTTTCGCTTGTATTTTTCTCTTCTTTTTAATCATTATCAACAATGTCACACTCTCTCTTTTTACCTCAAATGTTAAGTCCTTTGATCATTGGAGGATTTATTTAGTAGCAAACTAATCTTTTCGTCCACAAAAAATACAAAAGAGAGAACAGAGAAAAAGAAAAAAAATTGATGATATATATCGTACACATGATAATAAATAAATATATATATATATATATATATTATGTATCTTCTCAGAACAGATATCTATTCCAAGAAAATACATAATAAATATATATATTTATCATCATATGCAAAACTCTTATTACTAGAATTTTTTTCTTCATCCTGTGCTCATGTTTCTATTTTTTTTTGTGGGCAAAAAGATTAGTTTATTACCGTATATACTCTCCATTAATCAAAGGACTTAGATTCTGAAACAAGCAAAAGTAAAGTGATTTTGTTGATAATGATCACGGAGAACAGAAAAAAAAGAACAAGTGAAAGCTAAAGTTCGGTTTTTATTACTATTATGATAAAAAAAAGCAGTAAAACACAAGACAGAATGTAACATTGCTTCGTCATCTACATTTGCCGAGTTTGTTGCTATCTATCTCTGATAGGAAAATATCTTGCAACTAATAAAAATATACATAGAACCACAGGAAAAGAAGAACAGTAATCATATTGGTTAGACTATGAACAGCATCATTTATGTCTTATGTTATCTCATCATCCGTTTTCAGCAATTTGTACTTATAGATATAAGAAAGACGATATCATTATTCTCTTTTTCCATCTGTTACATAATCTATTTTTGAATGGTTTCAATATTCTTCCTAATTCTATATGTAATATCGATTAACTGAAATAGTGACGGTTCTGCATCAAAAAATTTTACTTGAGTAATATTTAATATTATTTTTTGACTGACTATGTTATAATAAAAAAAGTGGATTATTTATGATACCGAGCAGATTATTTTTTTCCTCTAACACGATAGTTGTTGGGTATGTATTCTGATTGAGGAAGACCTTGGTATATTTTTGTTTTCATAAATGAATGATTGGTTCCTTTTATATATGTACAGATGGAAATGTTTGTTGTTATTAATGATCCAAATATTTGTAAAAGATATAAGATACTACTACTCTCTAAACTAATAATTGGATAAATACTTGACATATGTCAAAGAAATATAAGAAGAACAAGGTGGATTGATTCTTGATATTTAACGTGAATATTCAAGCTCACTTTGAATTAAACATTTACTATCAAATTTACAAATAATTTTTAAGTAAGACATTGCTTTAGTCTTTTTTCTTTAGAGAAAGAAATGCTTCAGAGCATCCTAAATTTTAATATTCTTACTAGTTGATGCTGCTAATGGCTTCAATATTACCTGAGAATAACATAATAATGTTGAACATATTAAAAAGGCGAAAAATTAAAAGATGTTGTAAATCGGCAATTTACTTCTGCATCATATGTTGTTGTTTTTAATTGTCATTTTATGATATTCTTGGTTGCTTTATATAGTGTAAAATCAATAGATAAGAACTTTTTTTTTATTAGGATTTAGAAAGATAACAGACATTACCATCGTATGCTGGTACCATTTGCAAGAGGTAAAAGTTATTTCAAAACTATTCTAATTATCGAAAAATTTCATAGTAGGTTTTTATAATAGCTAAAATCAATTGATTCAAAGTTTTCATCCAAAAACCTGATAACTGATTAAATGTCTATAAGGGGAAGGGATTCGATTTTGACAGATGTTGATAGAAATGAATGCTGGCACTCAGAAATGAGGAATAACGGAAACACTCCATGAAATAGAACAGCATATTGATATATCAAAAAGCGCTGTAAAAATAATGAAATCGATATTACGGAACTATTAGATGGTTTTTCATATGTTGTAGAAAAACAGAAAGAAAGTTTCATCAGTAAACATTATTATATTTGTTAGGGCACTTGTTTTCTATACTCTAATAATTTAATATATATACACTGTATATTCTGACGTTTCTTCTTTCAATGTTTTCTCTTTGTCAATTTTACACAAACTTTTGTCAATATGAACAGAAAAAACGAACGAATTTTTATCTTAGAAAACGAAAATGGTACTATCTATATCCTAAACTTAATTAATTCACCGTGATTGAGAAAAAAAATTATGTTTACAGAATTGAAAGCGCCTATCTAATATGTGTTATTTGCAACATTATTGTACCCGCCTGTGTATAAATATTGGTCTATTTAACGACGATTTGTCACCTGAAAGTTCGCTAAAAATTTTACGATTTAGAAAACACAAAGAAGTTACGTTTTCCATCATAGAAACGGGTTTGAACATGTTTCGTCGTTAAAGAGAAGATTTGTTATGCGTTTTCATGATCAAAACAGTAACACGTTAAATTGGAATCGGCTTTTGATGCAGCAATTTATCAAAGAAACGCGTCAAAATACATTAAATACGTAAAGTGATATATACAGTATTGCTCAGAAGTTTTCATACAATATGACCGATCGCATGCACAATGAATTTCCTTCAATGATTACTATCTTCCTAACCGATTATTACTATGATTGTTGTGTAGTAGATAGAAAAAGTAATTAGCAAATACAATTCTTTTTACTTTAAGTATTTAACGAGTTATGACTGTAATTTCTACTATTTTGAATCTTAGTATGTGCTAGAAACCTGTATCATAGTACGGCAAAAATGAGAGGGCTATAACTCGCTCAATGCTTGAACTACGAACAAACGAAAAAATTATTTGTATATAATGATTGCTTTTGCTATTTGTCGCAAAATAATCGTGGTGACAATAAGATTTTCTTGAGCATCTTATTAAAAAGTACATTAAATATTGAACTAATCAGCTGAACTTGTCTCTTCAAACGCATGACACTTAGGAAGATACTGATTATTGAAGGAAGTTCATTATGCGTGCAATGCATCACATTGTATGAAAAATTCTGAGCAGTACTGTATCGATCAATTTACGCATTGCATTAATAATTCATAACTTTTTCTCTTTCTATTGTTCAATTTTATTTTGCATGGTTTTTCATCAATGATGTTAACTTCTTCAGACTATTTTTAGTTCAAAATCATACATCAGATAAAATAAACATACATATTTAGTACACATGCATATATATATATATATATGTTCTCTCTATTGTTAGTACAACGAACAACAAAAATGCTTAACGAAGTC